TCAGAAGACAGACTGCCACCACATCATGAGACCAGAGCTCAGAAACAAATAAAAGATGCTACTCTGCCACTAGTTTATAAAAGACCCCCACGTTAGTGACTGATTAATTGCTTGACTCTTTCTGATGTCCCTTAGCAATTCTAATTTCCATACGCAGAAACAAGAAGGTGTGCCTGCAGCCTGGGAAGGCTTCAGGAAATTTTGTCCATATGAGGTAATCATTCCCGCATCTCTCAAAAGGGCAAGTTCTTTAGAACAAGTAATTAATATTTTTGTTAATGTACATGCCATAAAAGAAGATAGTATCAGCTTGAATCTATATTTCAGAGGAAATTATAGGAAATCTGAAATGGAAGTGAATCAAGATATTGTCAGCTGTAAGCAGTATTTTTAGACAATGTTTGGTGTACTTAATACTAAGATGAAGGAAGAAGCAGAAGATTTTGTGGTCAAGATGCCAAAGTATAGACAAGGAGAACGTACGGATTGACATTATCATTTGAAGCTGAAAAAAGGAGGAGTGTAACAAAAACTATTCTTAGCAATCTGCAGGTATTCTGACTAAAATGAAATTGACTTTTTTGCTGAAATTAATATTTGGAAAAGTGATATATTGCTGATTCAGCTGAAAGGCAGTAGATATGAATAAAATCTGAATGGAAAAGACCAACTTCAAAAAAAGTTAGCCCATAAAAGACAGATATCAGACTTCACTGTGCTGCAAGACCTATTACTACCTGTAACAATAAAAAGGTTAATTGTTAGAAGCAAAGCCAGATCAACAAAGTGACCAAGAATCTGATGAAATACATCATGTGATAGAAAAGAAAGTCAAAGTTAACAGTACCAAGAAATCACATTTAAGTAAAGAACGACGAAGGGAGAGAGGGCACAGGAAGAGGCAAGAGAAAAATATAACTGAGCCAAGCTTTGGAAGAATCATCAGTATTCTGAAAGGGAAGAACTATGAAGAAAATTGAAGAGATAATAATCAAAGGAGTTAACACAAAAAAGTGAGGCCACTCGCTACTTATCTAAACAAATCTTTGAACTGTCTAAGTTTTACTGTTTATTAACAAAAATGTGTTAAAAAAGCAATTAGTTTGACAAACAATTTGCCTATATAAATGAGATTAGTCTATTTTTTTTCCAGGAAAACCGCATCAATTTCTGTGGTGTCAATTCATTCTACATTCCCTTAGAGTCACTGCTTTTAAACTCTTTTTTCATGTTAAATGGAGAAGAGCTGAAATGGAGGGAAGCTTTCTGATTATAAATCTGCCTTTTAAAAGTATCCACATAAGGTTTATTGCTTTATTCTGTATGCACAATATGATGTCATCCAAAAACCTAATAAAACCAAATTTCATTATGTCTTTCCATCACTCAAACTTTTCATGTAAAAGATGCGTCTATGGTCTGAACTATGGCTCTGCAACGCTCTTCATAAGAAGATGAGATGAGAAGGAAGATGCGAGAGAGGGACAAAAATTGACCTTTGCCTGCCACTTTGCTCCCAGTCCTGAAATTTCCTATCCACAAGTGTAATGGAAACATGGTCCTTTAAAGACTGTTCAAATGTTAGACTGATCACTCTGCTGCACATTTGAACAGCTGGGTTTTTGTTTTTGAACTAGCCCCTGCCCTGGTGAGGGCCGGTGTGACGGCAGCCTGCCCTCCGTGTCGTGGCAGCATGAGAAACAAAGCCGCGTGCTGTTGGGCACACCGCTGCTTGGACACTCAGAGCCATACCAGAGGGTCGTCCCTCGGGACTCTGTCAAAACACTGCTGGTTTAAATGCACTTTAACCATGCGTGTCTGTTTTAAACACGCAGGAATGAAAGAGGACGGCCAAGCAAATGTCAAAGGCATATGTGCCAGCACTGGGCTGGAGACGCAGCATCTGGAAAGAACCAGAGTATCAGTTAATTTAGACCTACTGCAGTTTTCTCTCTGTCTTGGTCAGTTAGTCCATTGGTCTGTCTTACTTCAAAAGCTCTTTGTCACTGCTCACTTACTGGGTTGGCAAAAACCGTCATGCAAACTGGCAATAAATATTCTCATTTACACAAACTTCTCCAATTTAATATAGAGTTGTATTTGTTGTGTTTGGGACGGTGGAATATTACATGTCAGGATATGACCTACAATGTGATTTATGAAGTCTGGGAAACAGATTTCTGTTTAAAAATACAACCAAAACCAACCTGATTTCAGCTGTATTAACTCAGATGTGTAACTGATACTTTTGTCCGAATTTATCTCCTTTCAGGTAACACTACTGAAAAATTGTCATAATGAAAGCTCATTTTAGCAATAACATGGAGTATTTGACAGAAATATGAAATATGGTGAAGGAATTGAATAATTTTATTACCCAGAACTTTTATGTTAGAGTGGCTTGAAACCAGCAGCACATCAACAATGCTAACAGGATTCCAGAAAACTAATTGGATCTTGGGTATTTATAAAATCATCTGCATGATAAGAGGAATATGTATGTGAAAGAACTTACTTATCTGAAGCTCAAATACTATTCAAAAGAAGAATGGACATCTGGGATGGCAGAAAACTAGAGCGATAAAACAGTTGATATAAAAATTACCGGCATATTACCAGAATTAGCAGTAACAGTAACAGCAATGAAGATGTTTGCAGTAATGAGAGCAGATGTGTTTGTGTAACAGATCAAGTCGTATCATTTGCTGACAGCTAATTTGAAAGAGGCATAAGAGTAAATCCTCCAGAGTACAAAAGTTGCTTTGCTGCCTGTGTATGGACAGTGGTTTACAAAGTCACATAGCTGTGCACAAAGCACATAAGGACCTCCAAACCCTTGGGGTGGTCCCTGGCCATGCCGGGGTCCTGCTTGTCCACACACTTTCTGTACAGGGTCTTGTCTCGAGGACAACCATAGGGTGGATCTCAAGACAGGGTCACAGCTCTCCCTCCACATCCGACACAACCCCACTGCCCAGCAGAAGATTTTCCGGGGTCGTTTGCTTCCTCTGGGATGGGAGTCATGCAAGCACAGAGGAAAGAGTGCACAAGGCCTCTCTGTAAGTCAGGACATTTCCTTCATGCATGATAAAAAGCTGTATGGATTGAAAGGATTAAGCATGAGAGGAGAAGTCTGCCCTAAGGCAGAAAGCTAAATTTACCCTCACTAAAACTCAGAGGGCAGCCATTGTATAGTGCAATGCAAGTATTAATCCTTCAGCCCAGCTGAAAGAGAGGAAGGGACAGCTAATGCTTGATTGGAGTGACTAGTGCAAAACATCTTGGCTGCATATTTCTATTAAATTATTTTGGTTTAAGGTTGAAGAGTGAAGTAATACTCCTATTGCTAGCTTAACAGCTGAAAATAGCTTTTATGTTTTTTGTTTTACTGGTTGTTTTTTTTCCAAATCACAGATCAGAGATGAATGTATTGCCAAAGTTTCCCATTCTGTTGTACATGGAGAAAAGGAGGATGCCAAATTCAGACGACCTCCATAGTATTAGAGCTCATTCGCAGCATCACAAGGGGGCACCACAATTCTAGTAAGTGACTACACGGCTTTGCTTCTCGTCAGGCAATGCCAGACAGCTTGTCCTAGCCAAACTACTGAATTAAGCATACAATTTTTGGGAAAGATCAATCTGAGAGCTCAAATCCCATAAACACTGCTGAGTACAGATTACAGAATGTTGAAAATGTCATAATATTAAATCCTGGTTCCATCAAATAATGCAATTCCCCATCCTGGATCCCATGGAGTCTTTTATCACCAGTCCTTCTACCACACAGATGGTTGCTGCTCAGGAACCAACCATTTCACTGGCATATTTGTGTTTTCCCTTTCCAAACTCTTCTCATCAAAGACTACTGTAGAGTACCCAGCCTTCCTGAAAACCACCCAATCTGAAACCACATGGATATATAAAGGGCTATGTGAAAGGTAAGGCATCTTGTGCAGGGTCCTCTCTAGCTCAGGACTGAGCGCTCGCTGGTTGTTTAACTTGCAGCATGTTTCTCCTGATTGCTTTGGCTGAGTATTGAGAGAGTAAGCACCTTTCTTCTGTCGAACTAAAGATGTTACAGGAAGAGTTGCTTTTGTTGTTATTGTTCAGAAATAGTTAATCTCAAGGTTGTAGCTATGACCATGGTACAAAAAAAAAAAGTATGCTTTTGTTTTCTCAAGTCAAAGATACTTTCAGACTGAGTCTTTGATGTGTATTTGAATAACAGTCCTCTAAAATACTAAACTTTAATTACAGAAGAAGGAAGATCAAATAACCTGTCCTTACACGAGTTGGAAATCACCAATGCCAGTAAATTAATTGATTTACTCAAGCAAGTATCAAATGCTTTTTGTATCGTCTCTTGCTCTAAAAAACCAAATCCCTACCAGAAAAATACTGCCCCAACACTCTTACAGAATTATTTCGCTTTCTGCATATGCACCTACACAAAAGCATGTGCAGCCTTATGAGCAATACCTTCAGAATTCAATAGTTGTCTTGCAGAACCTTTGTAACAAAAACATAGGTTTTATAAATACAATGAATATGAAAGAGAATTTCTTTCTTGTTACTCTGCTTACCAAATTTTTATCTGACATAACACTATCCTTCTGGCAGGCTGATTGCCACCTACCATATTTTATGATGACCTGTCAATGTGATTTTGCCACTTTTTCCTGCCTTTTGTCTGCTCTAGCACACTCTTATGCTATGCACCTGCTGAGCACCTTCCTTCAATAGTGTGTGCTCTTCAGAATTTACTGACAACTTCCTTAATTTTCAACTTGCGTATCCTTTCCAAAAAAATCTCTTGATAATCACATTTCCAAACACATTTTTAAGCCAATTCCTGCAGATATTTACTCATTTGAATAAACCATATGCTGATTAAATAATTCCAGTAATTACTAACACAGGGATTATGTGCAGAGAAGAAATCTGGACTGTAACATCCTTGGCGAAGGTACCAAGCAAGGTGCGTACAGGTAACTTACCTATCAAATAGTTCTCCACCTGTGACCAATTCCAGAACAAGACTGATTTCTGTAGGGGTCTCAAATATCTCCTTCAGTTTTATCTGGTAAAATATAACAAAAAGGATTCATTTCACTTATTTGTCTTCTTGCTAAGCATATCACAGGGCCAACAGCAGGAAACCGACCACAGTCAATAAAGCAGAGGATGGTACCAAATGAAGTTGGTGCATCATTTACCTTGCAGTTGAGCAAGTTATTGTGCATGTTCTCTCCCACCTCCCTTTTTTTTTGCTAGTTTTATCTCCTTTGCATTCCTTTTTTTTTTTCTATTTTCACACTCCTCATAGCTCAGCAACCTCCACGTAACACAGGAGTTTAAGAAGCTGCTTTCATTAGTGCTTGTCAACACCTGTTTGCCAGTCTTTCAGAGTAACTGAATGTAAGACCTTCCCAACCCTCCAAGGACTGACAACACCAACTTCCCCTTTCATTTGCAGAACTTCTTTTGCATAGTTTCTCACTCAACTCTGACAAAACATCAATAATTTTTTTTAAGGTGTAAGTATAATTCAGCAGTCTTCCATAATGAGCTGCTAATGTGCTCATGAGGCGAACCCAAAGCTTTAATCCAGGACTCTGTATAGTCTGTATAGGTGAATCACAACAGTAATCTCTCAGGAACAGAAAGAATTTTAAAAATACAAAGAAACAAACATGGAGTGAAAGAACAAGGCTAAACTTACAATGTTTGGATGCGAAAGGCGAAGAAGAACTCCAATTTCTGTGCGGACAATTTTCTTGTCTACCTGGTTAAAAGTGGGGAGGGAAAAAGTGAAAAATTTATTTCTATGTTCACCATAGAAACTTCTAGCTGCATCACAGGAAAGTATGTATGAACAGCATTTCTAGATCTCCTAGGAGAATAAGTTGATGTGAGACACACAAGTCAAATATACTGTAGGAAGTAATTTTCCTTTAACACGAGACAGATAATATAACTGAAAAAAATCTGCATCTAGCAAAATTATTACAAATGTACGTGTAAGTCACGCAAGAAGTAGAATGTAGGAAAGACATCTGAAAAAGGTGCTAAAAACTCCTTTTTTTAATCAAGTTCTGCCCTTGTCTATCACTACTTATGTTGGTTCAGTTTATGCCAGGATAGCTTCCTTTTGACACACTGTTCATCAGCTGTACTGGAAAAAGTTTTCTGCACATACAACGTGCACATCAAAGCAGTGTAACATACTGCTTAGAACAAAAAAATGATGCAAAGGTCAAACACCCCCGGCCACAGACAGGGTGTAAGGTTCAACTTCAACTTGCTTCAGATATATCTAACAGAATGGTCTGTTAATGCAAAAGACTATCTGCTTGGTTAAACCGCTGAGAGGATTAGCCCTTCCCTTTCCCTCCCTTCTCAAATTGCAGTCTTTAACAATCCAGGCACAACCTATGTCCTGTTGGGGGACATCGGTCATTTTGCAGAAGAAATGCAGACCTAGCGAGTATTTTACTCAGGAAAGACAACTGCAGCTCTCCTGGAACTTGAATGCTTAAGCAAGCAAGAAAGGAAAATGCTCGTAAGCAAATTATGCATGCTTTTATGTTGCTAAGGTAATTAATACATTTATGAAGAAACTATCTGGTTTGCAAATATTCTCACAAACCCTAGAGAAATCCTACACTGACGGCAATTAAAAACATCTTTCTTCTACAGCACTCTTCATCTCAGGGGTTACAAAATGAATGAGAGTCAGCAGGTTAAGTCACTACCTGTTTCCAAATTGATGACACAGATGATGTCAAGCAGGACATTTTAAGGGAGAGTTGTGTGGTTTTTTTTAGTGGAGGCTTTTCATCAAATACATGTTTTGTTTTTGTTTTTGTTTTTATCATATGGGAAATGAACAGTCATAATACATAAACCTTTAAAAGGGACATAAAACTACCTTCAAATTCTTAGTGAGGAAGACACATGCTTAAACAATCCCTTTATTTTTTGTCATCTGAAGGAAGAGATGTACTTCTCAGTATTTTATTTTTTCCAGCAACAACAAAATCCAAGTATCAGTCACATTCAGAACTACAGGATAGGCAGAATTTGATTCTCCCCTTGTGTCAATCAGGAATGATTCCAGGTTAATAATGCCACAGTGCTCTGACAGTGTAGAACTAGAGCCCTTAGGGATTTCTTGAAACTCATTGACATTTAACCTCTTTTAGTGGCTCTGCCAGAAAGCAAAATGAAAGAAAGAAAAAACAACTTTGGACAGATTCAGTGCACGTGAGAAGCAGCAAAAAGCAAAAATCAAAGAGGAATGAAATATTCCGTTACCTGAACACCTAACTGGAGGTAAAGAACATGGTCAATAACTAAATCTTCACAGGTAAACGCCTGCTCTGGGATCAAACACAGGACCCTTTAAGCTCTGCGACCATCACAGGCTTTATGAACTTTATTGCTTTCTACTCTGAATGCAAGTGTTTCTTTGCTCTTGCCTGCTACATAAATACTGAGCAGCAGGTTTGAAGAACGGTGTCCTGCAGTCTTCCTAAAATGCTGTGAGCACCAGCCTGTGTTCTTACTTGGTTTCAACATACCCTTGGCATCAGTGCCATTATTCAACTCTGGGTTACTTTTGTGAGTGCAAACGTACAGCCAGTGGCTCCAAAGCTCACTGGGCTCTTGATGATTCAGAGAGTAATACATGTCTGGACTGTTTTCATATGCTTTGCACCTCAGACAGGATCAGAAAAATTAATGTACAATATTGCATGGACAGTCATTTCCCCAGGAGAACTGTTTAGACCGAGAAATTTACCTTATCCAAAGGCACCACTACAAACTGAACAACCTACAGTTTGTTTTCTGCAGTTTTGAAAATGTTTGCACATCAAACATGCCTGGCAACAAGCATGGAAGAGACTGTCCAAACTCTAAAGATGCTTCCTTTTGGCACTGAGTAGTTACAACTGAGAAACTATAGAGGCCTTCTCTCATCTTGCAGGTGGCAACAAATTAAGTGAAAAAGTGAACTGAGACTCGGTTTCAGGTCTTTGCTTTCCTAGACGTTTACTCTGCAATAAGTGAGTCCCTGTGTGATCCAGTTCCTGACCTGACAACGAACAGTAGACTTTCATAATACTTCCTCAGGTGGTGGTATGAGGAAATGGTACCTAAAAATTAAAAATGCTAAGATGCAATGGCAAATACGCCACAGAGAAACACTTAGGAGTGTTACATATAAGCATCCTGGAAAATGGCTATTGGGATAGATTTTACAACAGAAGCGTGCATATAAGTGATATGAACCATCCTAGAGTAAAAGCAGCAGCATATGTAGTCATGGCTTTTTATTACAGACAGCATGTTCTATCACTTTTATTTTCTTACCTTCTCCTACGTAAGTATAGAGCTGTATCAACACTTAACCTTGTTTCAGCTCCTTCCAACAAAATGTACTTACTTATATCAGGGCCAAACTTGACCTATTTTTAGTTTGGGCAGGAGTAACAGCAATTCAACTACTTATATTCCTGACAGAAATTTTTTGATAGGATGACAGTCAGGCATTTCACTCTATCGTGTATGTTGCTAGAGTAACAAACTTTAAAACTTGGATAATTTAACCAAAATATCCTATTACTACAAATGCTTGGGCAAATTAAGTATGCTTGGCTAGATCAAATACAGTGGTCTGATTTGTGTAGATGCAATAACTGACCAAAATGAGGCTGCAAAACTGTTTATTTTTGTATCCTCCTCTTTGGATGCAATTTAAATATGCAGCACAATATGTAACAATTTATCTGAGCTTTCCTTAAATTACTCACAGGAGCGTCAGTGAGACCTTTGTGAGTATATCAGTCAAGAATAATAAGGTCAGTAGAACCGGTCTGTTTGTAAAGAGAAAAAACAATCAAATGTTAACTTGCAGATGTTTCCTGGTTCCACTAGTTTAGCGATTATCCTTCTACAAGCTTCCTTTATCCTTTGCTTTTAATCTATGCTATACGGACTAGAGTATGTAGTTCATTTTAGTATATTTTATACCAAATTCATTAGTATAATTTGATTTCTACTTAAAAGATTACTTTTCTCTGTGTGAAAAACTTACACTAATTCTGTACCAGGTCGTGCGAATGACTGGTTGGGTGATTTTAACACTGGTGCGATTTTACTGAGCTGTATTTTCTGTTTGCAAACTTTAAATTGCAAGCAATCAAGAGGCATTTGCTGTGATAGGCTTATGAAGCAGCATTCTGCTGTGGTACATCCACGTCAATTTGAGAAGTCATTTGCCAGGTAATCCTGAAATGGTTATTTATCAGTTCTTCACCACTGACCCTAGGCATGAAGATTTCACCGCCCATAGACCAAAAAAATCAAACAAAGTTGCTAGATGGCCTGTAATTATTAAAACCCACATCTATACGCTTCCACAGCTCACCTGTGGAGACATCCACATGAAGCGCTAAAACGCAGCAAATCTGCAAGAACTGCTTGTAGCTGCAATACAGTCCTGCCTTGTGCTGTGGCTTGCAGTGCTCCACAGTACGCTTCACGCTTCAGTAAGCAAACCAGGAGCTGTGACTGCAGCACAAGTAAGCGTCTGCATGCTGGCTTTAATCTAACTAGATAAAGTACCTGCAACAGCAAAGATCCAGTGACCTGAACTTGGGAGCAAGAGGCAGTTCAAGGTGCACTGAACTGAAACGTCCATCTGTACTGCTGCTGGACGCATGGCTTTGCAGTGTTACCTGAGATCACTAGACAAACGGTAGCATGCTGTGTGCATTCAAAACTGCAATCATATGTCCTGTTCACAGACTGACAGACAGACATAGGATTAACAGCATTAACAGAGTATTTCACACAATCAAGGCCCAGGAAGTTAGGACAGCATTTGCAAGTCTCGGTGAATGAAATTATCCACCCCTTTAATTTATATTAAAGCATTTACATAAAAGGTAATTATTCCTGGATGATTCCTAGTATTTTGTCTCTCCAGTTATTTCACTTCTCTAGAATTAGGCATTTATCTATTTTATAGATATGTGTCTACAAACATTGTGTCTTTGACATTTGATACTGGTCATGCAGTGAAGTAGTGCTAGGTCTATAATCAGTCTACTGCTGATTTATAAATTTCAGACTATTTTGACAATGGAAAGGGCTGGAAAAATCCTTAATGAAAGCTGAGATTCTTCCATGTTTCTGTGCCCTGAGATGGTGAGGTGGAGTGACGCTACAAACCCTGAGACGTAAAACTGTTGCTTCTATCTGAATTAAATGGAACAAGAGAAAATGAACTGTCACTGTAAACAGATTAATCCAGCTGCTGCCTTGCAATATGGTATGCCATCCTGAAAACAGGTGGCCAACAGATGTACAGACCCCTCAAACTTCGTAGAGAGCAAGAAGCAGAGCACATTACTCATCCTGCAAGTCCAGTCTCTGCTGCCCTCCTTCACCAGGGCGCTGTGGACATGGAGGGGCACATCTGGCCAGGTGTGACCACCATGCCGGTTGGGTGACAATGCTGTGCCCAGGCAAGTGGTGTGAAGCAGCCAATGCAAACAGCTCTCAAGGAGATTTACAGCATTGCCCACCTCAGAGAGGCTGTTCACCCCAGCTCTGCACAGCTCGTATTTAATATCCCACTTACTGACTCACATGAACACCTCTAATTTGAGCAATGAATGCTTTATTGAACCAGCAGGTCAGGCTCTGAGCATGTATTTCTCTGCACTTACAGGGAGCATGCTGCAAATCATTATTGGCTTGCCTCCACACTCTGTT